CACCGGAGATCATGAAGGTGGTGGTGGCGAGGCTATACGACGGCCCTAGCGGTGGCTAGCGGCTGCCGGAGGCGGCGGTAGGCGGCGGCGCGTGGGGAGAGCGGTATGGTGACGGCGCACGGCAAGCGAGCGATGGCCAATGTAGCTCTCGCGGCAGCGAAGCTATAGGCAGCAGTGGTGTGGCGTGGCGACGACGCTAGCTGCGGCGGCGTGCGGCCGGAGGTGGGCGGCGGGTGGCGGAGCTCGGGTGCACGGCGCGAGGGCGGTATAAGGCGTGGGAGAGGACGGCTGTCGACGTTTGATGTCGCAATTCTGGTATTTGCATGGTATGGGGATCATTGGTACTAGGATATACACGAGACTGAGGTAAAAGAGACGGAGACGAGGATTTTTATACAGGTTCGGGCCCCTGAATTGTCAGGTAATAACCCTACATCATGTTGGCCGAAGCCGGTCGTTGCTCTTATTCACCATAATCACACCAGTACAATATTTGGGGTAGCCTATCTAACTGTTGTCGACATGGCAGTCTGAAGGTCTGACTCGTAGTCGACAACAGGGTAGTCTTCCTCCTCGAATCCGTGCCCGGCGAGATTAGAGATAGTGCTTTCGTCTCTCTTGACAGTATCTGGAGACACCGTAGGGGACTAACCGTGCCTATCCCTGAAGTTGATATCCGGCGTCTTGTCTTGGCGTATGTTGGCTTGTATGTTGTGGCTTCTGTTGTTCCGTGTATGTTGATTGAGGTGGTCATCTCCCGTCTCCTCCTAGGGGGTCTTGTATTTATACCCATAGGTGTCCCCTTGTCTAAGTAGAACTAGGGAAACCAATATGGATACAATCTGAGTAGTCATTGTCGTTTCCATGTAGAACTATGGTTTGTCTTTCCTTAACCGGAACTCCCTCGAGGTCAGTTTCCGTATAAGATATGGTATGTGGTGGATCCTGCCGAGATTTAGTCAACTACTATTAGGTATGTGGTATCCATAACCCTGACAACGGCGAATGGGGAAACAAGAGAGGGAGCTCGAGGGAGGGTTTTTATGGGCGAGGGAGGGGAGGACGTGGCCGGGAGGGTGGCCGAAGCCGCCGGCGACGTGGGGTGGAGAGATAGAGAGAGTGGGGTGGGATTCGAAATCAAATCCCGCCCATTTCGTGCGCGCGCGCGGGGCGGGAGACGCGGGGAGAGGGCGGCGACGTGGGGAGGACATGGGAGCGGCGCGGCGTGGGCGCGGGAGGAGCGGAAGAGGTGGGGCGGCAGCGGCGGTTGCCGCCGGCTGGAGGAGGAAGACGGGGCCAACAGGTGGGCCCCACCTGTCAGTGACCCGGGAAGAGGAGGGAGGCGGCTTGGGCCGGCCCAGCAAGAGGGAGGTGGCGCGAGAGAGAGAGAGATAGGCTGACGGCCCATCAAGACTCAAGAGAAAAAGGAAGGAAAAGAAAAGAAAAAGAGGAAAAGGATTTTCCCGGGATTAAAAATATTGCACTTGCTCATTTTTAATTGGTTAAAATTATTTATAGGGCTCTAAAAATTCCACTAAAAATCTTGTTAATGCATTAGGGCATGGGGAACTCAAGAAAAGTTCCACCACGCTATTTCTGATTATTAATTGCATTTATTAATTAGGGATTCAACTCTAGGTTAATTAGAACAATTTCTCTGGACGATTTATTTAACAAATTTTTAAAACAAGAAAAAGGGGAAAACTTCAGGGCGTGACATCCACCCTGCCACTCCTCCTTCTCATCTCCCGTGCAACAAGCCTCCGCTGGATCCGCCTCACTGTTGCTCGTCCTCGTCACAGAGCCACCACTACTGCTCATTTTCCTTGTCGCAGGCACCAAGCCTTCATCGGATCCACCTCACCGTCGCTCCTCCTCGCCCCCGAGCCGCCGCCACCTATTCTCCTAGTCGCCGAGCAGTCGCCAGCCCTCCCCCGTTGCCACCGTGGGAGGAATCTCCCCTTTAGGCTCCGGTGAGAGAGGAGAGGGAGAGGATAAGGAAGGAGTAGTTAGAATTCTGGAAAAGTACCGACATGTACTTAGGGGTATTTTTGGTCGATTGTGGCTCATGAAGAATTTTTTTTCTTTTTCTAAATGAAACCCTAACACTGCAGAAAACAGGATCAAGTGATAACTTCGATTTTGAAAAACGGTGTCGAATAAGCAAACTTAAAAGTAGGGTCAAATTGATAGTTAGGTTTCAAAAAAGGTCAAAAGAGCAATCGCCCATTCTTTATTTATTTATTCACCAACTTAATTTATGTTGCGCCCTAGTAATAAGTGGATATCGGTACAATATTTTTTTTTGTTGAGAGAGAGATCGATACATATCTTTATGTATATATGGTGGACTGATTTCTATTCACGAAAAGAATATAATGGACCTCCTCCGTCCCAAAATAAGTTAATCTAGTATGGGATATGACATGTATCTATCTGTTGACGACCAAAATTGGTAGATCATGTACCAAATTAGAAGTTAAAATTGAAGCGGATTTGGTGGAGGATTGGTTCTCGGAAACAAAGTATGCATCGGCTACGGGAGGCATCGGCTAAAGACTGCATCGGCTGACGATGGATCGGATAGAGGACAACTGATATAGCCGATCTCGCTAAGGTGGTTCTACAATCATCTTTGGGATTGATCAACGTGCTGCACAAGTATTGCCATGATTGAGATAAGGTCACGGATAGGCAATTGTATCTATTAATTATGATATTTTGAATAGTTTCCTTAGAGATATTTATCGGCAAGAGTTTGCCTGAAAGACTTGTTCGTATCTTAACGGTTGTAGCAGATTTAGAGTCGTGCCCGGGAAGGACACATTATGTATTTTGGGTATAAATATGGCCCAAGACCATGTATATTGATAACGACAATTCAATAACACTTTCGGCGTATCGCCACATTTTTTATTTTCATTATTTCGACGAGTTCTTGCTTTTGGGTTGAGCTACATCGGTTTCGATCTTCAACAAGAGGTAAAACTTGTCATGGCGGCTTGTATTCTCGGGATTAGTGCATACATCTTTATGACACTCTAATCTTGATTATGTAAATCGTCGAGTTATCATATGTGCTGTATAATCTCTATCAGTATTACCATCTAACCCTAAATCAGCCAACATCTATCATTGGAAGGCAGACAATAGAGTTAGATATCGATATTGATCTAGATTATATAGTATATCCACCATCTCATAGAGGTTTTCATCAACTTGTTTAGATCTTGTGTTTTTCTTTATGCTTAATGCTGCATCGGTCGAGTTCGATCTATTAAGCAATATCTAGAATTATAATATCTAGCTTGTCTTATGATCATCAATAGAGATAGTATCGGGGTTTCAGCCGATCTTACCTGATTCAGTTGTCTTGTTCTGTACACGTTTACTTGACGTACTAAATCTGACCTTTATACTAAGATCTTATTGCACTAAGATATATTAGGCTTACTGTTTGGTATATTTTTCTTGTTTTAATATCTTAACATAGAGTGGTATCGGAGTACAAGCCGATATATGTTAGATCTACTTCATCGGCTATGATATGAATATATATAATCTTTGTCTTAAAGTACTTTTATGCATAAGTGATTTATACTGTCTCGACTCACTATCAATCTATCCCAATCACTTGGTTTAAATATGTTTCTAGAGGTAGATTATATATCATTGATATCTACAGCCGATTGAGTAGATTTAGCTTTATCTTGCTTTATTCTTCATTGCCGATCTAATGCCAATAACATCGGCTTAATGATTAACGATATGTCATCGGCCTTTAGCCGATCGGCTATCGTTTATGGATTTAACCTTGTTTTCTTGTTTTCCTTTCTTGTTGATTGCAGAATTAAATCAACTGGCACGACTTTAAGCCCGAAAGCAAGATTTAGGACATGCACTGGAGTTAAGCAGATCTCTCAGGCCGATGTGTGTTTTTCGCATCAACACTATTTAGATTCGTAATACTAGAATATATCACATAAATTAACCTAGTGTGGGATATGACAGATATCTAGTCAGATTCATAATACTAGGATATATCATATCTGGTACTAGGTTAACTTATTTTTGTAACGGATGGAGTATCAAGGATATTAATCAGTTTATTGCTCAAGGCTGAAAATGACATATTTCATGTAAACGGTTGATGATGCCACACCTATTTTTGCGTAAGATTAATGTTAGCACGAAACAAGGGGAGGATATAATAAATTGTTGGTGTTGAGTCTGGTATACTCCATCGATGTCTCCTTCCTCATGTTGTCTTGTCGTCCTCCTGCATGCTAACTTCCAACCTATCCGTGAGTTTTGTGAGGCCAATTTGAACTATAAAAGTCAAATCTGTATATTTGACCAATGTCAATTAAACTACAAGTTGTTAAAATCCTTGCTTAGATTTTAATCTTGAATAGTAGTACTCTTTTTTGTAAAAAAAAAATCAAATCCTACAAATGCTTGTCCTGTTCATAGTCAGGATTTGACTTTTTTTAAGAGAGGGTGTATTTATTTTTAGAAAAATAAATAAGTGGTATGAGGAAAATCCTAAGCGGTAGCATTACTAATTAAGATGTAGATTGTATATGGATTTTCGTTAGCATGCGTTTTAAAAATTGTTAAACGGTGTATTTTGTGTAAATTTTTTTATATAGAATTTGCTTAAAATATAAAATAAATCTATTTTAAAGATTGTAATAATTAAAACTTAATTGATAATATGCTAGTGATTTTTTTATTTTACGTGCTCCTAGTTTATTTTTTTAATTAAGTTTTAATTAAGTTTTAATTGATAAAGTTTTAATTAAGTTTTAATTAAAACTTAATTAAAACTTTATTTTTTTATCTTAGTCCACATGTATCCTATAAACGGGAGTAAGCAGTTGGTCAAGATGGGGATAGGGGTTGACATCATAGAAGCAGAGATGTGGTGTTTTCTAGAGTTAATAAAACATAATATATTGATTAGTGGAGTTGGGTGGAACGGATCATGGACACTATTCTCAACTTGTCATGGATTAGTGGAGACCGGAGGAAGAAGAGGGAGTAAATAGTGTAGTTGGGGTGACAAGAAAATCAACGGCCGGGTGGGCGGACAATAATTTCATGGTCCTCCCTCCTTCCCTCGCCAACTCCGCCGCCGCCTTCTTCGCCTACTCTTCTTCTTCTTCCACCTCCACTCCATTCCTCCACCTCCACCCACACTAGCCACTAGACTACTAGAGCTGTGGGTGTAGTAGCTAAGAATCAAGATCGATGGGGAAGCCGCCGCGCGCCATGACGCCGGTGGAGGAGGTGGACCTGTCGGCGGTGAGGTACCAGTCGCCGTCGCTGCAGGCGCCGCACCTCACCGGCTTCTCTCTCAGGGCCTTCGTCTGGCTCATGGAGTCGCCCCTATTCGGCCGCCTCCTCACCTCCGTCCTCAAGTCGCAGAACAACATCACAAGGGTACGTTGGGTATTAGCTTTGCCTAATTAAATTTGCTACTATGCTAATAATGAATTGATGGTGATGAATTTTTGGTGTTTGATGCACTGCACGCACCGCAGATGCTGCAGGACACGGTGATCCCCGAGCGCCCCATGTACCTCCCCGAGTACCCGCCGCAGGGTATGCCTAGTATACTATATCCCACCTTCCATAGCATTCCCAATTTCATATTCCTTTCCTTCCTGCTTCACTTTATTACCCAAACATTCTCATCATCAAATAGTTATTATACTAAATGTCCGGTATCGCTAATCCTAGTTCGAGCGCCGCACAATGCTCCCTCGTTCGTTTTTTCGTTTTTTTTACCACCCCACCTTCTGTGTTTCTTTTTTCTCTTTTCCATCTTATCTGTGCTTCATCAAAGGACCCGGTAAAATATTAACCATCCGTTTAGTTTTTCTTTCCAAGTTCATTTTTCTAATGTTTCACAACGTTTTAAAAGTAACGAATTTACTTTGTGGAGTTTTTCAAAAGTAACGAATTTACTCGCATGAATGCCCCTTTCAAAAGTAACAAATTTACTTGCACAAATGCCCTCACATTGTATGTGCATCATTCCTAGATGGTCGTAAAAGAATACCTAACAAATTTACTTGCACGAATGCCCTCACATTGTACGTGCATCATTCCTAGATGATCGTAAAAGAATACCAGTGTTATAAATATTATTTAGATTTCGTGGTCTGCGACTAAAATAATTACCACCGTCCTCTCAATATAGCCCATGATCTCGTAGCCACCATGTAGTAATATGTTTACTAATGTGTTTAATACACAGTATAAGGGTAAAAACTGAGGCTTCGTGGTCTGCGAGTAAAACAATTACCACCCTCTCTCTATATAGCCCATGATCTCGTATCCACTATGTAGTAATATGTTTACTGGTGTGTTCAATATACAGTATAAAAAGTAAAAACTGATACTAAGAGTATTGTTAGTCTGTATCACAAAATGGCCGTACGAATGAAAAAAATTACAGGCTCAATCACACACAAGTGATAAGATTACTCACAGGTGAATCAAACTAGAAAAGAAAAAAAAAGATTCATCCAAAAATCCATCGTGAAACTACATCCTGGTGGCTTTGCTGGATCTTGCTATAAGGATGGAGAGGCTGGTCTGTGTCTTGTGACTGGTAGTGGAGAGAGCAACCGAGTGGCGAACGGTACGCGACGATGGAATCAAGGGAGGATGTAGCAGCATGGTATAGAGATGGGCTCGACGTTGCGCAGTAGCAGCCATCCATCATCTAGCAAGCGCAAAAAAAAAGCAAAAACATTATTGTTCATGTCATAGAGACGACGAGCAAATGAAAAATAGCAAACAACCTCCATCACTGGCGGACTCCACCTTGTCCTGCGGCCAGCCACATGGAGCACGATGTGCAAATGTAGGATCTGTGCAGACCATCAATTCAGATCAGGTAATATTGCAGATTACACGTTAATTTGATTTGCAAAAAGAAATTGGGGCTTCATACGTGAAGTTGAAGGAGAGTATGCAGATGCAAATCGGAGTGTCATTTCCATACTTGCTTGTTCTATCAACGTCGCCGATGTGGAGCAGCCGCCGGTTGTTGCTCTTGACCCAGGTGAACACCTCCTTGCCGATTAAGCTGTGCCTTCGCCTCAACCGCCGCCGGTCACCGCCGTCAACCGCCACGGTGTCGTCATCCTCGTCCATGGTGTGTTACCGATCTGTAGGCTAGGATGGTGGATCGATTCAGATTCGAAGAAAAAAAGAAAAAATGAAGTGGGGGCAAGAGTGGTTGGTTGGGTACGGGAAAAATAGAATATATACCAGAAGCAGAGAAGTTGTTTTTATCGCAGTAAATCATTAACTCCGATAATAGTGGGAGCAGGATGACGGGACGTGGGGTGGGATCGAAAGCAGGGAAGTTGTTTTTATTATCGAAGTAAATCGTTTACTCCGATAACGGTGGGAGTGGGATGACGGGACGTGGGGTGAGGTGGGCCTGGACTAATACATGTTTGGCGCTCGGAATACTAGGAACGTGCTGCGCTCCTAATTGTAGTACTATTAAATGTCTTACAAAAAACAAACAAAAGATTTGCTCCTTTAAGTACCATCAAACATCAAACATGCTGCTGCAAAACCACACCTTAAACCCTCTGCCCCTGTCTATTTTCCTTGCAATCCATTTGTTTTCTTACCCATATTTTTTGTACACTACTGCTGTGGTGCTCACATTTGGAACTGGTGCTGCTTTGCCAGAGCCGGAGCAAGGAGTTTTGCTTCTGGGGGATGACAGGGACCCTGTGGACAGAGTTGAGGAAGCACTTCACTGCCTCCCGCCCTATGATCCGTCTCTGCGTTGGCCGGCCGGGGACAAACCCCCTTTCCTCTACTGGAAGATCCGTGATTTTGCGCATGCGTACCGCTCCGGGATCACAACCCCGTCTGTTGTCAGTAGCCCCATTGGATTGAACAAATCATTATTTTCTTCTCTGCCTCCCCTCCTGCATGTGTGCCACTTGACTTTCTTCTTGTTGCATAGGTTGCGGAGCATATCATTGCCGGTGTGGAAGAGTGGAGCAACAAGAAGCCTCCCATGCCTATGTTGGTTTATTTTAACGCAGATGATCTAAGGAAACAAGCTGAAGCTTCCACAAAGAGATTTCAGCAAGGTTTTCCCTTCTCTAAAATCATGATATTTTTGTATTGTTGACTTTTTTATATATATATTTGGGTTAAATACTTTCAAATTGAAACTCCACCATATTCTATCTCATCTTCTTGACATGTGATGGTGCTCCTTGGCTCAGGAAACCCAATTTCCATCTTGGACGGGATCTTTATCGCCATTAAGGATGACATTGACTGCTTCCCATATCCATCAAAGGGTTAGTTAACAGACTGAAGGGGCCTGGCAATTTGGTTGCTGTATCTGAGAAGCGTATTCCAACTTATACCTTTTTTTTAAAAAAAATACAGGTGCTACTACATTTTTCGACAAAATTCGCTCTGTGGAGAAAGACGCAGTTTGTGTTGCTCGTTTGCGGAAATGTGGAGTGTTATTCATTGGGAAAGCTAATATGCATGAGCTAGGCCTTGGAGTAACTGGAAACAATCCAAACTATGGGTATGCATTATCATCATGTGACTGCTTATTTTGTTCAGATCCCTTAGCTAGTATCTAGGGAGCACCTGACGGTTTGTGTGGTCACAAATGAGAAATATCAACAACATTTTCAAGGCCAAACAGACTGTATTATTTTATTAGCTGTTTCCTAGAATCAAATTAAATTGAGCATTAGTAAATCTAGTTGACTAACCAAAGTACTGGGATGAAAATAAATATTTTGAGCTATATCAGTCACATCCAAATCTAACACATTTTTTTAAAAGATTAGGAATTCAAAATTTTGATCCAATCTTAAGTGATAGTCCAATTTACTGTTTTCTGATGCCTAGTGTAGTGCTTAACCATCTTGTTTCTTAACCTTTCCATTTGCAGAACAGCAAGAAATCCACATTCAATTGATAGATATACTGGTGGTTCTTCATCAGGTCCAGCTGCACTAGTCTCATCAGGGTTATGCTCAGCAGCAATTGGAACAGATGGTGGAGGTCTGTACATAAGCTTCATTGCCCCTAGATTCTTGTGTTGTCTGTACTAGTCTCCAGCTACTACTTTTTTTACTGTGACAGGTTCTGTTAGGATACCATCTTCTCTATGTGGCATTATTGGTTTGAAGACAACCTACGGACGGACAGATATGACTGGGTAACTAAAAGAAGTTAGAATTCACTTAATATTTACTGTAGTAACTCCTTTGAGCATCATAATTCAAATCGATTATAAATTTATAATAGATTTCAACATCACATCTATAGACGATATAGCCCTCTGCTAACATTCCAGAAGTTCTGAAACTGTTTTCTATTATGGAAGTTATTAAAAACAATGAAATAAAGGACGAGTTGTTTTTTTATGGCTATCCTACACCTGATCATATTACAATATATTTACATGCATCCTATTAGAAGTATGTGTAATTAGAGATTCTGCTTTCAGGGCACTTTGTGATTGTGGGACCGTTGAAGTTGCTTCTCCTCTAGCAGCTTCAGTGGAGGATGCTTTGCTAGTGTAAGCTATTTACCTTGCTAGAGAGATCATGAGATCTGAGATCATTTGCACAAGTCTGTTAGGCTTACGTTTCTTGCCAATTAAGCGTGAAGTTTGTCGACACTATTTTTCCATGATATAAATGATCTTGTAAGCTTGACTGTCATCTTAATGAACTGACTTTTCAGGTATTCTGCAATAGCAGGCTCTAGGCCTATGGATAAGCTTACCCTGAGACCAGTAAGATATTTATGATGTACTTTTTTCATCTTCCTGTTAAATACCACAACCTACTAATAAATTGGATAGGTAACACGATAATTGACTGCAAAACAGAGAATTGTGGCTGGCTGGTTCATTCTTCCTTGGGCCATATGACCAGCTGCCCAGTCATAGCATCTAGGCAGTTTGCTACTTCCTCCGTTTCATATTATAAAACTTTCTAGCATTACTCACATTCATATATATGTTAATGAATCTAGACATATATGTGTGCCTAGATTCATTAACATCTATATGAATGTCTTATAACCTGAAACGGAGGTAGTATTTTTTATATGAGGGGACAATATTGTCTGTTTACTGATTGATATAGCATACTGCAATGTTTTATTTTTTTTAAAAAAGTTAAATGTTAAATCTACATCGTAATACAGCCAAATGTTTAGCTTCTTAATTGTCCCCTGGAATTCACATTTGATATCGATCTTAAAGCAACCTGTCAAGCTCACATCTTCTGCATTTCTTTCCATTTCCTCTCTACAGTCACCGCTCTGTGTCCCTAATTTGGTGTCTCCTGACAACAACAATATACTGGGATCGGTGAAAATAGGAAAATATACTGAGGTAAACTTTTCACATCAAGCATCATTTTGGTATGCATGAGCCTGTTCTAAATTACACTGGTTTTTGTAGTGGTTTCATGATGTCTCCGATCGTGATATCTCTAATACATGTGAGGATGCACTTAACCTTCTTTGCAGCAGCTTCGGATGTCAAGTAAGATCATCACTATCTAACATACCTTAGACAATAGGAGTACAGTATTCTACTAGTTAATTATCACAGTTTATATATAGCAGCAACAATAGGCCTTTGCTTTTGGTTGTGCAATTTCTTCTATTAATGGCAACATGTTTTATTGTGTGGTTTTCTGTTTTTTCCTTACTGATGTGACATTCCAATGTGTACAGATATTTCTATGTGCATCAATTGCATTATCGATAATGGATATGTTGAAATAACTGTGAAATATAAATGATATGTTTATTTTTTAAATTCTGTAAATCATAATTGGTTTATAATTGATTACTGAGCTGCTTTATCTGGAGCTTTTAGGAAGCTAATGAGTTGTATGAGTTACGCTTAAACTTTTTCCAGCTACGAAATGTTTGAATGAGAGCCAATTATAATGATGTGTTCCTGTAAAAATTTTCTGTCATGTAAGTTGATAAGATTTTATTTATGTGTTTAAAGATAGAAGAAATAATACTGCCAGAACTTGAGGAGATGCGTACTGCCCATGTTGTCTCAATTGGCACAGAATCATTCTGTGATTTGAATCCTCATTACAGAGCAGGGTACACATCTATTTTAATGAATATCATATTCTACATGTTGTTCTGAGATATAATTTTTGAAATTTCCTTCAGGAAATAGTGTGTTTGCTGTTCTGTAGTAATGATCTTCTGCTAATTTCCTCCAGAAAACGAACTGAATTTACGTTAGACACTCGAACAAGTTTGGCACTTTTTGGATCATTCACTTCGACTGACTATGTTGCTTCTCAACGAATAAGGTGAGTAAAGGGTATACATTCAGCTGATGCATAGATTTTTCTATTTCTGATGCAATTTAGTCTAAAGCATAAATCATATGCTGCTGACCTATTATTGAAGTGAGCACCAGGGGATGCTGATTTTTGTGCTATCTTATTCTTCTTGTATGATGTCTCCTATATTGTGCTAAATGTAACGGGGCATGTTTAGGAGAAGGATAATGTACTATCACAATGAAGCTTTCAAGAAGGTTGATGTCATAGCAACTCCTACAACTGGGTAATAAATCCACAAATTTCATCATAATCAATCTGTACATCTTACCACTTGCTCTTACTAATTTGATGCATACTTCCTCCTCCATCTATTATCTTTTGCTTACTCAAGCAGGCCAGTGCACAATGGAAGTTTGTAGTTTTCAGTCACAAGTATTTCTAAGCAATGTCCATTTGACAATTTTCTGATAGTTGTGGCAAACACCATTTGGACGATCATGTTTTGGAAAATGAAAACTGCGTTAATCCTGAGTCTCGATTCCTGGACATGAACACTGTGTCAGTTCATCTGCCTCATCATGTTGAAGAGTTTAACCTGCTGTTACCTGTTATTAGTCTTACGATTCAAAGATTGATCAATGTTCTTATGCTCATGCACAATGACAACCCTAATTGTGAAAAGTAGAATGTAGAAGATATCTAGTGTGTCTGGAAGGACTTTAAACTTTCTTATATCAAATCAAGTTCTTACAGTAATGCAAATGGTCTGGCTTTGTGTTGTGGATAAATGGTTGACCTGGTATTTTCTACATTAAATGAACATTATGTTATATATCTGAGAATTGCCCTGTGGCAATACAGTTCAGAATGGACTGGAATAGTTAAAATTAACTAATCTGTAAGTATTTGTCTATACTCCATAGCACATAGATGATGCATCTCTTGTCTACTGGTAATACTGCATTCTAGAACTTTTACATATTTTGCCTTTTTAGCGAGATGTATTTTCTGTTGCTAAAACAGCTAAGGAAATTTTGTTGTTTCTCCAGCATCACTGCTCCAGAAATACCACAAAGTTCTCTGAAGTTAGGAGAGTCCAATTACGTTGTGTCAGGTAAACAGTTTGGAGGACATTTTCTCTTGGTATCTTCATTAGCTATTTTGCCTGTTTACCTGTGCGAAATCATAGCTTTTAAGTTGAGAAAACCAGAAATCAGGACGCGTCAATTGTTATTTGATCATGTCATGTTTCTATTTTGCATTATATGATGCCTGTATAGGGGCAGGTTTGGTAAGGTGGCAAGCCAAACACTCCATCAAAACCTTATTTACCAAAATTTTGGGAATGTCCATGTACTCGTCTTGTATTATCAAAATTTTGGCACTAAGCACAAAAAAAGGCCTTCTCTACCTCTTCCAAATAATCCTAGGGTGGAGAACCTAACCGTTCTATAAGTCGTTCAGTTTGAACAAGGAAAATTTTGTAGGGAGGCTTCTTATTCTTTGTAGCAGGAATCATGTAAACAAGGAATCTTTGTTCCTGTCTGGATTGATATACAACTTAGTTACACAACTTAGAAGTAACAAGTCCATCATCTTTCATCTATAAGTGACTTGAATTAAAGTGCATATGTATGCCTGTTTTGATGCTAACTACAAATTTGGCTATTTTCTTCTGTATATAGACCATGCAAAACTTTTTTTGTCTGACACCGCCGCTTCATTGCAGCTTACCTGATGCGATTCGTGATAGCTGGCAATCTTCTTGGTTTGCCCGCGATAACTGTACCTGTAAGTTGTGCAAACTCATGGTTATGTTTTATGTATGTATTGCATCTTTCCTTTAAAAACGAAGAGCATGTACTGCATGTTTAACTTAGCATTCTGCATGAAGTGAATTTTGGATAAGAGTGATTCATAAATATTTTGCTTAAATACTGTCATTATTTCCAATAGAGAAGAATTTTCTCAGGGTTGGATTTTTTGTTCAGTAACTGAATATCTTTAAAAGGCGCACTTGTTCTATATGTTACTACTTCTGGACTCAGGTTGGTCATGATAAGCAAGGGCTTCCTATAGGCTTGCAACTGATAGGTCGACCATGGGGCGAGGCTAGCTTATTAAGGGTGGCTTCTGCAATCGAGGTATTGTGCAACTACATCATAAATATTAAATATCGTGTTTGGGTTTCTCCTGCAGCAAGTCTAGATTGGACTGTTCTTAGTATGAATCCTGATGAATATCTGAACATTTTCAAGACAGTCCACTATATTTGGCCCTTTCATTGCAAGTTTACCTCTAATTCTTGTGAAAACTTATATATATTTCTATAGCACTTGTTACTGCAATTCTGAGTAGTACCATGAACTTAGAAAGTTTTCTATTAGTATTATTATTTTTTATTTATCTTCTTAAATTGTCTTGTTTCATTGGTGTGCCAACTGCATTTTGGTATTTTCCACCCCATTAGAATTTATTTTTCAGTTGGAGGTGCATTTCCAATATGGCAATATAAATACAAGTATTATGATTGTGCATTACTTGGAGTATTCTTCTTTTAATGGTCTAGCCACATAATCCAAAGTCCAATAGTTAAATTATCTGCTGATGCTAGAAGAATCGGTGTACAGCTGACGTTGGTTGTGCCTGCTTGTAGGAGCTCTGTCTGCAGAAGCGGAAACGGCCATCTGCATTTCATGACATCCTGAACGCTTGAGTTGACAAATTATGTATCCATCCATCAATGATGTATGGCACTTGGTGCTACGCTTTTATTCAGAACATTTGTACAGTGCAGATGATTCAGTCTTTCCTGGTGTTGGATGTAATAAAAGTTTCCCAATGGAGGGCTAACGCACATTTGTATGGACAGTCCTGTAAATTACTGGCGCAGGCATTGTGTGATTGGGTCAGTGTTTGTGATATAGTAGGCCTTGTTTAGTTCCCAAATTTTTTTTCCTAAAAACGTTCCATTGAATCTTTGGACATATACATAAAATATTAAATATAGATAAAAAGAAAACTAATTGCACAGTTTTTATGGAAATCGCGATACGAACCTTTTGTGTCCATGATTAGCCATAAGTGATATAGTAACCCACATGAGCTAATGATGGATTAATTAGGCTTAATTAGGCTTAATAAATTTGTCTTGCGATTTTCAGGTGAGTTATAAAATTAGTTTTTTCATTCGTGTCCGAAAACCCCTTCTGACATCCGATTAAACGTTCGATGTTACATCCAAAAATTTTCTTTTCGCAAACTAAACAGGTTCTCTAGTCAAAATACTTGTTTGATTTTTTCCATGATTTTTGAGGTGTACTTTATCATAGTTTTTTTTGTTAGAATAAGTTATGAGATTACGGATTACTAATATAAATGTACACACCATTTTTATGTTTCGTATTAGGTAACTTAGCAGTTACTCCCTCCGTCCAAAAAAAAAAACCCTCCTAGAACAAAGAATCTGGACAAAGGGTAGTCCAGATTCAGTCTTAGGCCCTCTTTGTTTAGGCTTAGGCTTATTGGCTTAGATTTTTAAGTCAGCTTATTGGCTTATATGATTTATAAGCCAGTGGATTTAATGTCCTAAGTTTAATGGTAGAGTCATACATCTATCTCATATAAGCCAAAAAAAGGCTTCTCCAACCTAGCTTTTGGCTTAATAGTGTTAGAGTGGCTTATGGCTTAAAAAAGCCAAATGAAAAAGCTGCTTGTTTGTTTTGGCTTAGACTTTTCGACTTATAAGTTGGCTTATAAGCCTAAACAAAGAGGGCCTTAAGATGGGTCACATCCCCTCCCCCTCCTTGAGTTTTTTTTTGGGACGGACGGTGTATTGATGAACGAATTTCTGGATTTGATGCAAAATATTAGATATTTTGTGACCGAAGAGCGTGTATATACTAAATAAAATGCATGAATTTGTCTAAAACTGTCGCCAACATCCAAGACTCTCTTGATATAGATGTCCATGTATGTAGCTAGATACGAAGTTTGTATGTAATATTAACATGGAGATAAGATCCAAGATGCGATGACCTAGACAACAATGGTATTGCACATACATACAGATCCAAAAGTATACTAACAACTTGTAACTTTATGCTAATGGTTGAATCAACGACTGTATGTAATTCAGGTGTCTTATCATCACAACATAAATAATCCACTAGTACTCACTTTTTAAGAAAGAGAGAGAGAGAGGGGGGGGGGAAATAATCCATTATTTTATAGGAAAAAAGATGAATTCATTTCTAATAATATTGTTCTTCCTAGCTTCGTGGGAAGGAAGGGCAAAAAAGGAAAAAAAAGAAGAAAAGAGCAGCAGCAAAAACCTCTTGTAGTTGTGTGTTGTTGTACCCCGAATCCAATATAAATCGCAGCGTTCCCCGTCCCTCTCTCTCCTTTCCTCCTCCCTCCGCCGCCGCCGCCGCCGCCGCCGCCGCCTCCGCCTCCTCTTTGTTTCTCCTCTTAGGGGCTAGGGCTTGGCTTTCGAGAGGCAGCACCGCCGCCGGGGCAATCGAGCAGGCGGAGGGGAGGAGCTAATCAAATCAAGTCAAATCGAATCAAATCAAATTCAAATTCAAATTCGACTAGGGCAGCAGGAGGAGGATGGTTTCCCTGTCGACGTGGTTTCGCTACGCCGCGCACAAGTTCGAGTACTCCATCTCCCTCTCATGGAAGGTAAGTTCGACTACTCTATAGATCCGCCCGCGTGCTTGTACCCTAGTTACTCTATCTCGCCATCTTTCCCATGGCATTGGAGTATATGATAGTAGCACACTGCCTATTCTATTACACCCGCAATCTAACCTGTAGTAGATTACTCTACTAACTAACATAGCCTTGATTGATTTTAATCAATCAGTAGCTGTATTATCGAATCTTTACATGCTCTCATAAGCCAATCTGTTTCTCCGCACAGATGAATACCACCAGTAGAATAGAATATGCAGCAAATTAATTTATGAATTGCTTCATTTCTCCTCCTGTTTATCCCAATGCAGAAGTATAACGTTGGCCAGATCAACAGCACCCAGTTAACCGATGCCGTCTGGAAGAACTTCTTCCAAGGCAAGCTCACCTACATGCATTGGAACAAGGGGGGAGAAGCCATGGCCCCCATCGAATCTACTACGGGAGGAACCCTCCTTGTTAGAAAGCTCGTCAATTTGTCTCCAACGTAAATTACCTGCTTTCCTTTACCCTCTACCCCACACTCCTTGTCAACTTTCTCCCTCATGATGCTTACACAAGCTGTAAATACTAGTATGCTTATTAAGATTTATGCATGTTTAAACATATTGTGTTTGTTGAGTAGCATGCACATCAAGATAATCAAAACAACATAACATATCTCAACTATCAACTCATTATGTACAACTCATCAAACTTGTGTCAGCATGATTCTTTTGTCAGTTTACTACCATGATTAATCTTTTTTTTTCATCTAAATTATGCTTTAATACTTGGCATCTTTCTTCCCAGATTGATATTTTTTGGCCCATAATCTTTTGCTCCTAAGGTTGTCCCTAGTATTGCTCATCAATTGCATGACTGCTGAATTTGGGTGGCCTTATCTTCATTATGCAGAACTTTGAAAGTTTAATTTTTAGTAGTCAATCAAAATTTTTCCAAGCGACTTACCGCATGAACTAACCAAAAACCTGTATAAAACTAGCCAAAAGCAACAAGCCAAGTAGCCAACAATATAGACTTATGGGACTACCTAAAAAACTGCCGCAAGTTTTTTGGGTGGAAAACTTTCAAATGTAACTGAAGTATAATTGGAGTGTAGGTACATTGTAACTATTGTAACTATACAATAGTTACAATGTAACTTATATGTAACTCGTATATAATTGTGCAAAAACATGTTTGTGCTGGATTGGCTAGCATCAGCATCTCTTTACTGTGAGATCGGGAGTTTGACTTCCCACTAGTGCACGGCTGTGCAAATTTTTTTCCCTCTCCTTGCACAGATCTCGAGGCAATCCAAGAGTCACAAATTTGAAAGTTTTGAGGAGAAAAAACTGGCGGAAGTTTTTTAGCAACTCCTAACTTGGGATCGAGGACACAAGACAAATTTTCTACTATAGTTAGTTGTGATTCCTTATCTTAACTGCATATTCTGTGTGACATAGTAGAGTGGCCCTTAGGTAGGCAACCTTTTAAATATGGATCCAATTGGGATAACTCACATGCAAACGCACAAATATTCATATCCATCCAAGCTATGCGAGCATGGCTAAAAAATGCGATTCCAAGATACACGGAAAATTTTCAGTAAAAATGACATCTTGAATATTTAAATTCCATTATGAGACCAAAATTCTTAAACGGTTACTTATTGGATATTGTTGTTTGGATTTCTGTTGGCTGCAGCAGCAGCAAGCCAGCAACACATTCAGTGCTTTGAGCTGGTAGACTTCTGGGTGAGGGTAACCTGGATTCTGGCATATCCACATACGCATGTTGCTTGGTGTATTCCAAAATGATATAGACCACGATAAATTTTTATCTATCTGTAGCCTTTTGCCAGACTTGCACAGCACATGGCCCCTTCTCTGCTTGTGATCCTAATTTTGAGGGACTTGTAAATCATCTGATTGACCAGTGTGGTAGTAAAACATGGATATATAAAATAGGCTACGAGGACCACTGATAAACAAGACCTACACCCTTAATAAATACACTAGCTAATTCTGCCTCCTTTCTTGAACCAATGCATTGTTTTACTAATGAATAGTTATTAAAGTTGAGGCTGTAGTTCTGAGATCTTAACAGAAGAGTGAGATAATTGTATGCAACTGTTCAATTGTTAGTGTTTGCCTGTGATAATTCCTTTTGCCAATCTTTTGAGACTACATCAACTGCTCCACTTTGCTTTGTTGTTATTTTGCTTGGTATCCATATGCTAACCTTTCAACTTTTTGCATACCAGTTTTGTGTCCTTGTATAAAAATTTTGGAGAGTACTCTGAATATATGGTTTCGGTCTTGACTATTTTTGTTCATTGATCTTGTCTTGTTAGTTTAAAAAATATGATAATTTTGAGAAGATGCTGATTTCATGAGGTGTAATTGACAAAAAAAAAACTGGCTATATCATTGTGTAATTGTGTTGGGCTGGTTAATATTTGATATCTTCTCTTAAAACAACTAATGGGTTATGGGTCTCATAGAATAACCATGTATGAAGTTGACATAACTTAATGCAGATACCTTTTTTAGTTAGATATTATATCATGTCCATAATCCATATGTGGTAACCATTTATGCATCTAATTATCTTCACAGACAAGTCTTTGTTGGTGATGTTGTCTTACTAAAAGACCCAGAGAAATCTGATGATTTAATCGTTCGACGATTGGCTGCCCTAGAAGGTTATGAGATGGTCTCTAATGATGAGAAGGATGAGCCGTTTGTACTTGACAAGGATCAATGCTGGGTTCTGGCAGACAACCAATCACTAAAGCCAAAGGTATGTAGTATGTTAGTTGATGCATGAAGAAATAGTAGACATAGTTTTGTTGGTTGGTGTTCTACCAAAATACCTTCCTATTATTTGGACATAAAGGCGAGCAACGGGCACATGATCCTTTTAGATGCACAAAGCGTAGAGAGGTTAGTGTTTTACCTAGATATCTTCTCATTGTTGCAACAAAAAAGTGAGATTTGGGCACATTCTCTTAGATGCACACATCGTTGTGGTGTGGTTTAACAAATATGTGTATTGAATTTGAGCACATACCTTCTTTATGTACTTCACATAAGCTCTTTTGGTAACAGGAAGCTAGGGATAGCCGCTTGTTTGGACCAGTCCCTATGACTGATATCCTTGGCAGAGTGATATACTCTTTAAGAACGGCTGTCGACCATGGCCCAGTGGAGAACAGGTAGGATCCTTGTTATATTCTGGGCTGCCTCTCATCTACACAGTAAGTTGTAATTTGACATCAACTTTTTGCTTTTGCTCCTGCTTTATGCAACAGCCGAATGGCCATGAACCAGGATTCACCAGTTCTGGCAGTAGAGCTTGATGTGGAAGAGATGGCGAAGAATAATAAAGTGTAGATAATTAGTGCTTTTGACGTGCTGTGGTGTAACTTTTCCCTTCGATGGATTTTGTTATTCGAGAGATTAGTTGCTTCAAGTAGAACATTATTCTGAACTTGTTCACTATTTACTCGTGGAGAAGTCAATAATCATAAGAATAACCATACGGGTTGCTAAATTTTGATCTTTCAAGTCTGCATTACCTAGCTGGTGATATCTTCGTGTTCATCTGGGTGGCCGGATTTAAGGCTGGATGTTTTGCTCCTATTTACCGAGGACAAAATCGGGATGGGATATTGGGCCATTTTACCATTTTGTCTATGAAGAACCGAAGATATTTAGCGTAATCTAGTATTAGATCACAATGCATGTCAGCATCGACTAAAGGAAAAGAAAGAGCAAGAAGAACGAGCTCCAAAGTAGTAGCTTTACAACGCTATTCCGAAGAATTTGTCCCGTGAACTCCCAAGCCGTAAGCAAACAAAAGCAACACAAAGTACATGAGTAAAATATGTAAATCGTACGTTTATTACAGTCAAGTTCAGTACGTGTTGAGATACGACATAAAGTATCTTGTAAAATTTTAAAACATGATATGCTCTAAAGTTGTAAGCATAAAATATCCTGTAAAATCGTGATCATACTTTTGGGCAACAAATGGTAAGTTCTATCTGTAGATGCTGTTTGAATTCACCCAAGTTTCTGACTTCCAGTGCTAGCTTGAATAGTGTCAATGGGCTGGGAAAAATAATCAAGGCACCAATGCACGGTAACAATCTCTAACACAGGTCTTGAATTTGCTCAAGGTGCAGCATCACTAGGAAGATCAAGTCCAGCTGGAATACTTCCAGGGTAGTTGTAACTGGGGGAATCAGACCCAAGCATGCTGCAGCATTGAAATTACCAATACAGAATGCAAATTGTCAGCAGATTCATTGTTAAAAGAATGCAAAGCATATACCATTGGAACATCAGGACGCAAAACTGACCTTGTATCGACCAACACCATCGACCGGAGCTCACAGTTGGCAAAGCTGCATACAAACAAATCAATGTTAGGCAAACGATCCTTTGATGCAACTAACCATGATTCTAACATTTTTAGCGTTTAGTAGAATTATCGTGCCAACAATGTTCAAGGAAACCAAAATGTAAAAAAAGGGTAATCCTATTCGGTAGCGTGATAAGGATACGAAGCATAAGGGACTTTAAAGGAGTGCAGTCCAATTTGGTTATGTTACACATTATGTATCAACAGGTGATGTCTTGTGAATATATTAATATGATCGGCATATAGTTGAAGAATATGATGACAATTGGCAACTACCGAGCCAAAAGGATTCTCAGTGTAAAGGCACTTACTGCTTGCCCACTTCTTCTCTTATGGTTGGATGACACTCCCTGCTGTACATGCTTAAGGTGTGATATAAGAATCCACTATGGCTTACAATAGCTATCTCTTTCTCTTCCCTTGTCCATAACCTGAAATTACATTGAGAAAAAATCCAATCCTTTTAAAATGCTATGTGTAACAGGTTCTAATCTTGCTGCTGCATCTAAGGGTCTTCCAATATAAAATATTGCATGCCAACAATCCATTAACATGAGAACAGAGAGACAACCGTAAAAAATAAGTACACTGTTAAATGGTAAAAAAGCATGCAAACAAGTATATGTGGTCTAGAGGAAGGGTACATCCTCTGTTGAATGACCCTGTTATAAAATTGTTCCGACCAGCATTCATTTTTTCTTTCTATATTTGTTCTTTAAATCATTGGATAGTCAATATAGATGCAACAAAATTAGCTTAATTTCAGGTTCCACCTAACATGACATATAGCAGAGAGATGCAAGTTGACTTCTGTCTAACCAATACACACTTTTGACATGAGTGCTACACACAAACCTTATATAGTACCAATTGACCAAACTGTTTTTTATGATACACGTGTACACAAAAGACGCGATGCAAGATGGTAATTGCGTTCCAGGGACATTATTGAAAGAAATTGATTGATTTTATAAAAATATAATTACCAGTCAATGAACTTCATGCCCCTAGCTGCGACAGATGAATTTGCTTCTCTGACATTTGGTTCCCAAAGTACATCTTCATCATTCTCTATCTGTAAAGAAAATGAGCATGCAAATATTATGATACATCATTGCAACATCATTTGAAGCAAAGAGATCCCAGTAATGACTGATGATTGAGAAACAACAGAGATTGATTCTTGCCAGCGAAAAATCAATGGCAGGAAAGAGAGCGTGGTATTCTGTAATGCTCCTCCTTTTATCACAGGGATGCACACCCTGCATAAAACAAAGGATCAAACAAAGAAAAAATAAATTTATGGAAGTGTATTGACAAAACCCATGAGGATATTGGTGTGAGAGAACTACAGAGATAAAGCAAAATATTCAATTTCTCAAACAGCATATCCAATTTTAAAGCTATTGCACAGTAAAGTAAATAGGTTCTAGCAACAGACCAATATCATGTTTAATTACAATAATCAAGCATGGCACGTACAATAAGCACTTCATATTTTAAATGTGTTTTAGGAGAAGAAAGTACCAAGTGCTCCCTGCAGGCCTCAAAAGCAAGAAACGGTGGGCAGTTCAAACTGGAAATAGCTGGCCGGCTACTATGTCCAGCATTTTCCACCATTAATGGTGGTGCACTTACTCCATCAACAGAGTTTTCACCCCCAAAGACCCCGACTGCAGTTTGCATAGTCCTGTGAAATTAATGGTGAGGCTGATTTAGAAACACACTACTGCAATGCAACATTATATTATGTTATGACTAGGCACTGCAATTCTGATAAACTGAATTTTGTCTATAGTAGATCCAAGGCACATTAGCCCTGCAACAAATGCTGCAAGAAAAATACAGGCATGCCCGAATGATGTCCATACCTCATGGGTATTTACTAATGCACATAAAGGTTTCCAACTTATGCTTGTTATTTACATTTAAAAATAGAACATCAGAAAACCACAAACTTGTTTGATCGTGCAGAAAATTCACACTTGTATGCAACATGGTACATGTGAGTATCATAATTTTACCCAACCAGGTGAGCATATACTACAAAGCTTGGAGTTCTGAGCTTCTGGCCCAAATCCGAAATAAGCCAATGCTGCTCTTGTGGCTAAAACCATGATATGCATTACTAATTACTGAACGTGTACGATTTTGTGGTATATCTGTTAAGGACTTAAGGTTCACCAAGTGATCACCAGCGGACATATATATCAGGGACAATAATAGAACACAGGTGTATCTTGTAGGCCTTCCAAATACCATGTTCAGTTAAAAGATTAAAAGACCGATTTGCTAGATTAATCTAGTTGGTAAGATTAAGCAGTGGTATAATTTATTATAGTAGATTATGCAGAATAGCACCATTTATTACATATTAGGATTTAGGAAGCTTAGAAGAGTATTGGAACACTTAAAACATATACAAGAAGGTCAAGGAAAAACTACCTCAGTAGAGGGGAAGTAATAACCAGCTCAATCTTTTGTGCAAGTCCACTTTTTTTCACGTGCTCACGCAGGCAGTCAACCTACAAATGTACACAAACAAACTAATAATGGAACTTGCAATTATTTTTTTTTGCGCTGTTTTCCTGCAGGTAGGGGCTAGGAGATATATATACACTAACATAACATTTTGCATCTGATATGCCTGGAGTACCAGACATTTCTACTTTGTATAAGAACATGAATACCATTCATGACTAAAAATATAACCTTCCATGCTTCATCCATCCACATGGAAGTTTCACACAAAATCAGTAAACGCAATACAGTGTTTCTTTGCATAAGCCAGTTTATGAATGAAAAGATGATCTCGTCACACAAAGTCAGATTTTTCAGGGATGTAAAACGAATATAGCAGGCCTTACTTTATGATCTCAAACTAAAAGTATAAAAAAAATCTTTCTGTTAAAGATTTTTTGCATCATACTACTTCTGTTCATTTTTACTTAATAAGACATTTTGCATCATACTACTTCTGTTCATTTTTTTTGTTTTATAACTAGGTCATCGATATGGTCCACAATGCATATTTTATGTTATCTTCAATTTTTTATAACCATATGAAAGTGTCTTTCATGATAAATGTACTAATGTCATTTTCAAATATCAGACCATCATAGTTTTACAAATATTAGTGATGTGAAAATGGAGAGTGTAAGCGTCTTCAGAATTCTATTTATTTATTTATTTATCATGGATGAGGATGAGTTAATACCGAAATCACACCAAGTGAGTGTGGATTCCAATATTCATTTTGTGCAACAAATTTACTTTGGTTTGATTGAACAAGTGAACAATAGAATATCAGAAAGAAGGAAAGGTCACTGTAGGGTGGTAAGAGATCCACTCCTTTGTGTTGTATACTGAACTAAGAGCCCAGACTAGCATGATTGAAACAGGAAAAGTACGTAGATCAATTTGTGAAAGAAAGAAAGAAAGAGAGAGAGAGAGAGAGAGAGAGAGAGAGAGAGAGAAGGCTGAAATTACTTGGTTCCAGCCCAATGGAGTAAGGTGGGCGTCAAAGAGTTGGGGCGACATGTAGGCGCTGTGATCCTTCTCGCCTTCCACATTGTGAACACCCTGGGCATGCCTGACCTGCAGGGACAGGAAAGGATTACTGATGGCTAAGGAAATACAGTACATTGTGATCGATGAGCAGTAGTAGGAGTATTTGGAAAAGCATAGGAGGAAGTAGTAACCAGGTAGATGGTTTTGCAGCGGTGGAGAGGATACATGGCGGTGGTAGGAGGATTGGCGTCCATTGGAGCTCCTAAAAGACAAAGAAAATAGAATCTGCGTCCATTAGAATAACAACAGTGGGGGTTAACTCACTCAAAAAAATAAAAGAGCAGTGAAAAGGAAAGGAAGAAAGAAATCCTTTAAATTTGCAGGAAGGAAGAAATTGGAATCGGGGAGGGATCGTTGGGTTTGGGGCCCGGCCGGCAGTGATGGGGATTTTTGTGTGGATCCAATCCGATCCGATGGGATGGGATATTGCGAATGTACAGATAGAGGAAGAAGCTAGGAGAGGAGAGGGGATCCGGAGAAAGAAGTGGTCGTATGAATGAATCAGGCGGGGCAAGGATAAGTAGGTGGAAGCTATATATGAGGTACCTGAGGAGGAGGAGGAGGAGGAGGAGGTGCAGCGAGGAAGAAGAACAAGGGAGGTGGGGAATTTGGCACGGCGGCGGGGAAACTGTCCGACTCCGATGGTGGTGGTCGCGGCGGCGAATACAGTGTGCAGATGCGAGTGCTGGAGCAGCTGGACCATTACTACTTTGAGGCTTTCAGCTCGTGCCAAAAAAACTGTGAGTCGTGTCAGAGTTGGGCACAAAGAAAGAAAGAAAGAAAGAAAGAAAGACGGGGATGCGTTCGGATTGGCTACTTGGCTTGCCACTTTTGTTTGTTTATTTGCCCACTCACCCAAAGACACCCACAGATCTGGAGCTGCTGCTTCGCTCCTCTCCTACTAGCAGTAGTAGTAATACTCTATGAAAAATCTATTTACTATTAGCCCTCTGACATCAGTTTTTCTGTATTGCTGGAAGAAAGATGGTGCGAGAGCAAGTTTAATAGTATAGCCAAGTATAGCCAATGTAATAGTCAATTCATACAATAGTTGCTTGCTATACTATTAATACCTGGTCCTATATGTCATACACACATTAAGTCTTAAAGTCCATGCTGCAGCTGACTACAGATTTATAGCATATGCTGCTCTTCTCTCTCTTCCTTTAATCTCTTTAAAATATGTTTATACAGTGTGCAGATTTCAGCGCCAGATACACTGACGTTGTCCTTTTTTCTGTGCAAAAGATGCGAGTAGACTACTTAATAAGGCCGATCACAGTGCGGGAACGTGGACCGGTGCTCCACCTCGCCAGCTCGGATGTGGGCTTGCGTGGAGCGAGGAAGCATGCCCCAACAGAGCCGCTCGCCCCCACGGAGGGCGACAAGAAAGCTCCCTGTTGCGAGTTCATGCGCGGCGGAGAAAACGGCTAGCACCCGCACCAAGGACGGCGTGGCTTCGAGGCGTCTTACCCTCGTGCGAAGAAATCCCCGGTTTGCTCACGAAAATTCCCCTCCCACCACCGAGTCAAGAAAAGGCAAGAAAATTTTGGGGATTGAAAGATAAGAAATTGAAGAACATATCGGGTTCAACAAGATGAAAAAAAGAAAAAGGAAGCAAAATCATCACAATTCATAGGGCCAAATCGGCGTTGCCCCCCAAATCCGCTGGAGCAGTAGAGAGGAGGCATTGCCCCCAAATCCGGCGCTGCAACTCGGATCCGGGCCCTTGAGTGCAGACAACAACGACGGCCTCCTCATCAAGTCCGCCGCTCGAGGTCTCCCTCGGCGAGGTCGCCACGGTGGAGGCGTCCCCCGCTCGAGCGTCGCGTCACCGGAGTAGCAGAGAGGAGGAATCCACCATTTGGCATCGCGTTGTCCACTCCCGCCGCCACCACCGCTCCCGAGTCCGTGCAGGAGGAGAAGCGAGCGGCGCAGTCGACGGCGAGACGAGGCGCATGGCAGCGGCGTCCCTACGAGGGAGGAGCGGCGGGTGAGGTGGAGGAGGCGAACTCGAGCACGGGAGCGAGATGAAGGGTAGGTGAAGGAAATGATTTCTTGCGCTCGGTCGTGCTAACCGCACCCAGGTCACGCGCGTTGTGAGAGTAGTTGCTTTGCACAGCGATTTCATCCAATTAAGCTACACAACTTGGGGTGCTTGCACTGTGGGATGGGTGTCTTTGAGCCAACTTTTTGGGTTAGGGGTACGAGCCCCATGGCTTGCATTGTGAGTGCCCTAAGAGCATCACCAACAACTTACGTATAATCTTTCCCCAAAAAATTGTTTGTGGGTTTCCTAAATTGAAAATAGGAAGTAAAAAAAACTCCTCCCTCCAACAGATAGCCTAAATTCAATCCCCAAAACTTGAAAGTGGACCCTTCTGTTAAACTACATATATAGGAAATTCCTTTTTTTTTCTTTCACGCGCAGAAAGATCGCTTTCTCCACGCGTGGAAACGGGAAGGGAGAGGCGGGAGTGCGAGATTGGGAGCGAGTTTCGCGTCCGCATATAAACGGAGCTAGAAATCGGGAGAAGGGAACTCCAAAGCTCGGGTAAAAGAGTAGGAGATTTGTTGAAGCTGTTTTTTTTTTACTAAAATCTCTCAAAATCAGTTTTGGAAATCAGATAAGTAGACTGTTGGTGATGCTCTAAGTAGCTGAAGTGAACATAGCCTGGTGGTTGAGCTCTTTTGATTCCATTGTACAAGGTTCAAATCCCACCAGCCCGAATTGATTTTTCATAAAAATGTCATGTGTTTTGTATAAAAACTTAAACATTTAAAAAATATATCACATTTTTTAAAAATATATTTTTATTTAAAAAAATCATAAAATTTCATGTGTTTTGTTTAAATTAAAAAACTTGAACACTTAAAATAAATATCACATTTTCAAAATTTATTTTTATTTAAAAATATCCCGTTCAGTACATATTTAAAAATAGAAGAATGGATTAAAAAAACTCTTTACAAAGAAAATTCAAACAGCAAGTTGATAAATATGGGTAAATGTTATTTTAAAATGTCACGTGTTTTGTTTAGGGTTTAGGGTTTAAAATTAAAATGGCAAGTTGAGAACTAAGGGTAAGCGGAATTTTTTTTTGTAAAAAGAAGGTAGAGGAGGGGTTCGAACCTTGGTTGCATCTGCCACCAAGCTAAACCAAACCACATGCTTTCACACCTATTTAGACGGTACAGTGGTCAGTGGCGCAAAGATCCCTTGACGTGGAGATTTCGTGCCAACTCAAATAAGATCTTGGTGCGCCAACCCCAATGTGCCACGAGAATGCTAATTGCGCGTACGCGCCGCCGGCGCGTACGCTGCCAAAAAAACCCATAAAAGCCCGCGTTCACTGCCAAAAGCCCACACGTATGTTTCTTTCATGTTTTTTTTTTCCATTTTTAGCAGCCACGTTTCTTTTTTTCCCTTGAAACTTTCAACTCAGATTTAAAAATTTTCAACTCAAAATTTAAAACTTTCAACTCGAAATTTGAAAACTTTCAATTCAGATTTGAAAACTTTCAAGTCGAAATTTGAAATTTTCGAAGTCAAACTTTAAAAACTTTCAACTGAAATTTGAAACTTTCAACTGAAATTTGAAAACTTTCAATTCAGATTTGAAAACTTTCAATTCGAAATTTGAAATTTTGAAGTCAAACTTTGAAAACTTTCAACTTTTCATCTCAATTTTTAAAAACTTTCAACTGAAATTTGAAACTTTCAACTGAAATTTGAAACTTTCAACTGAAATTTGAAAACTTTCAATTCAGATTTGAAAACTTTCAACTCAAATTTTTAAAACTTTCAACCCAAAATACAAAAAAATTCTAACTCGGATTTGAAAACTTTCAAATCGATATTTTGAAAAACTTTCAAATCGTATTTTGAAAATTTTCAAAATCAATTGTTTTCATTTTTTTATTGGGAAATTATTGTAGCATTTTCACTAATCACCATGATTAACGCTAATGGTCAGGATTAGCGACGTCGTCACACGCATCGTTAAATGTCGCTATTGAGGATGCTGAGGCCCGCGTGCGCGCGAGTTAGCGTCCTCGCGCGTACGCGTGCTAGCCATGCCCATGCGCTAATGTCACGGATCATTTCTAAAATTAGTTTTTATGTGGTTTATTTTTAATTAAGTTTTATGAAAGGATCAATTTGTTAAATTATCGGTATATTACCACTATACTTTTCATCTTAAAAATACTTCAGTACAAGCAAAAGCTTCGACTGTACAAGTATACTTATCTATTGGCACACATACCTACTATTTACATACACTTCTATTATAGCTTTAGCATTTATATTTATAGTCGACTAAGGCAAAGTTTGAGAAGGAGATAGAGAAGAATGGGAAGATACGTAAAATGAGGTGAGCTATTAGTGCATGATTAATTGAGTATTAATTATTTTAAAATAGATTAATATAATTTTTTAAATCAACTTTCCTATATATAAAATTTGTGCAAAAAAACTCACCGTTTAGTAGTTCGGGAAGAGCGCGCGTGGAAAACGAGAGAAATCTTCTCTCTGTCACCCCTACCGAACGCAGCGTAAGTGTTCTTGCAGATAAACAAAAGTTACATTACCATGATGGCCATTGCCAATTCATGGACTTAAAAATAGAGAAAATTCTTCATATACCACTCAAAATTTATGAATTTCCTTATATGCCATCCAACGAAAATTTACATCCTTTATATGCCACTATTGAGGTCAAACTGTCTTACCTTGTCAGTTTTTTTTTTGCGAAGCAGTAGCATATAAAGAAATACTTCCTTCGTATTTTAATAGATGACGTCGTTGACTTTTTCTCACATGTTTGATCATTTGTCTTATTCAAAAAATTTACGTAATTATAATTTATTTTGTTATGAGTTGTTTTATCACTCATGATACTTTAAGTATGATTTATATCTTATATATTTACATAAAATTTTTGAATAAAAAGAATGGTCAAACATGTGAGAAAAAGTCAACGGCGTCGTAGTATCAACTTTTTGATGGTATACAAGGAAACTAGTGAGTTTTGAGTGGCAAATATTTGAGTGTGTTCTGTAACGTGTTTCATAAAAATGTACTTCCAAAATTGGCTTGTGTGGAGTTGACTTGGACTTGGTGGGCTCGACCTCTAGAAGCATCGATCTCAGTAATGTTTCGGTCAGCCATACAGGCACATATAATATACAGTATTAATTCATGTAAGATATCCATACTCCATGTAGTAGTACAAGTCAAAGGCGATCCATCCAATGCCAATTTGTATTTTTTCTTTTAGAGAAGTTCTGATCCATTACCGAAAGGACATGCAGAACAAATGCTACAGCACATCAGGCTTCAGCTTGTGGGCTTGCTGGCTCAAATCTATATAACCTATACAATACAAATGATCCTCTCATATAGTGTAGTTATTAATATTTTTTTTATGTGGTGTTTTCACGTCACTTTAATTATCTACAAGCCACATAGGCCTTGTTTAGTTTGAGAAAAATTTAGATTTAATTGTCACATCGGATATACAGACATACATTTAAGTATTAAACATAGTCTAATAACAAAACAAATTACAGATTCCGTCAGGAAACTGTGAGACGAATTTATTAAGCCTAATTAATCCGTCATTAGTAAATATTTACTGTAGCACCACATTGTCAAATCATGGCGCAATTAGGCTTAAAAGATTTATCTCGCAATTTACACGCAAACTGTATAATTGGTTTTATTTTTTATCCACATTTAATACTCCATGCATGTGTCCAAACATTCGATGTGATGGGTGAAAAGTTTTTGTTTTGGG